CTGGACGTCAAGTGCCGCCTGGAGCAGGAGATCCACACGTACCGCTGCCTGCTGGAGGGCGGCCAGCAGGACCTAATGTACGTAGACTTGAAACACACCAACATACATATACATATACGGTAAAATACCTGTGTTCTGGGTGTTTTAACCCAGAGGTGTAGGCTCTGCATTGCTTTTTTTGGCTTTACTGAACTTTGCGGGCTGCCTGGTAACTGATGGTGGTAACCTGCTTCCCTACAAGAAGACAGCTCGCTGCAAAATGCTGTCTAATGTTGAAGAGGAAAACAAACTGAGAGCAATAATGACAACAAATCGTGGTGATTTCCCTCACTAAAATGTCATTTTCTGTCCGTGCAGTCAGCAAGGAGGAATTGGCCAGTCTTCAGGCCTAGGAGGAGGTGTGACACGAACGACTGGGATAGGAGGAGGAGGTATCATTAGGACAAGCCACACTTACACTTCATCCTCCCAGATGCCGTCCTGTGCAGCTGCGGAGATACAAGGTGAGGACAGTGGCCCTCACTTCCAGAGGCCCTTTCTGGCATGAGCAGCACGAGCAGGTTTTTCACGGGACTGCTCATGAGCAGCTCCCTGGTGCCTCTGCAACCTCAGTGGGGCTGGCGGGGAGCCAGGGAGCGGGAGGAGAGGGATGAGCAGGGACGGGATGTGAGGGGCACCCGGCAGGTGAGAACCTGCTCCTCATCCTCCCTCGTCCCGCAGCTCGCGCCGCCCGGCAGCTCGAGGCCAAGGGGCAGAGCTCCCAGCGCCCCTGTCCCGTCTGTCCCACGGGAACAGGGAGACTTTTCTGGGAAGGGCCGGGATTCAGCCGAATTCTAGTTGAACTGGCTTGGGGAATGATCCCAGGAATAGTGATGTGGCAGGGAAGAGCCTCCTTTTGCTCTAAACAAATGAAGATTTCCTTTGATCTCCCCAGTGCCTTGCAGGAGGATTTGTGACTAAGCAGAGAAACGAGAATATGCTCCAAAAGATCCCGGAAGCAGAATCATGGATAAAGAGAGAGAAAATGTGCTGACCGCCGCTGCCAGGAGCGGGGAGGCTGCTCCTCGCCGCCCCGAGCGATGCTACGCAAGGCGTCCCAGAGATACGCAGAGCACTGTCCACGTCTGCTTTGGTTTGCTACTTGCTTTTCCCAGTCTGTTTTGCTGCGTGTGTCCAATTGCCATGTTTGCTACTTGAGTTAAACAGCCCTAGGATCATTAATGTGCCTGCCCGTGACAAAATGTTTCAAATAAAACTTCGCTTCTGCCTGATGCAATCAAGAAATCGGTGTCTGTGCATTGCCTATATACTGCCTGTGTGTTTCCCATATAATGCTTTGCTACAGCACAGTTGTAGAAAAAATATATAGAAAAATAAAGCAGCTAGCATGGCTCAGAGTCAGAGAAGGAACAAGAGGGGACAGACAATGTCCATGCTGGCCTGGGACACAGGTGGGACACATCTGGGCTGTGCCCTCTCACTGCCACCCAGCCTGGCACCGGGAACGGGTCCAGTTGGAATCCTCGCTCTCCTTCCGCTGGGACCGCTCAGCTTCAGGCAGGTCCCTTTCCCTTTACCGGTATCTTCCCATCAAGAAGGGCACCCGAGGCAACAATCTATTTCCCCGTCTGTTGTCACACAGTGACTGAGTCACCTCCCGGTCCCGCTGCTCCTGAAAAGCAGGAGCTGCTCAAGATCTGGAGATCATCTTTTTACTAAACATGCCTTTCTGGGGAACTGGCGAGGACGGGATAGAGCTGAGTGAGTGCAGCTCAATAAAGCGAAGGGGAAAAAGCTCGCCAGAGCCGTTGGGTACGCAGAGCCTTCCTGCCCTCATCTCCCTCCCGTGGGTCGCTGGCGGCAGCCACAACGCTGCGGTGAACGCGCGGGTGCCGCGCGGCGGGACGCAGGGTCTCCGCGAGCCTGCAGCGTCTCGGAGCCACCGCGAGCCCGCAGCGTCTCCGGTGACAGCCGAGGAGCTCGGGAGCTGCAGGGCGGGCTGGGCTCTGAGCTGGCTGCCCGGGCACCAACGCGCGCGGCCGTGGGTCTGGGGTCTCCCCCCGCACGGCTGCGGCTCGCATGGCGGCGCTGGCCCCGGCGGCCGCTGCTTTAGCTTTGCTGATCCCCGCAATAGGGCTGCTCCTCGTGTGCAAACGTCTGGGCAAAGCCAAACTCAAATACATTGGGGATCACAGTGCAGGGGCAGGAGGAGAGCAGCTAGAAGGACAGGAGCATTTCAGAACCGTATCTAATGTGGCACAAACTAATCTAACCTCACTTTTTCATAAAGAAACAGATTTCTCCATTGCTGCAGAAATAGCAGTGGTGATGCAACCAAGAGGTCATAGGCAGGAGTTTTAAACCAAGACTCCAAAGTCTTCTCTGTCATCTGTGCTCGCTCTCTGTAAAGTCTTGAACGCGATGCAGGAATACCTGGGTGGACAGGGATGGCTGTGGGTTCACGAAGCATCACAAGGGACCCTTATAAAGCCTGTAACATGGAACTCCTCTTGCTTAGACTTCCCTGCCTCTGTCCCAGTCATTCTCAGACTCTGGTTGAGAAGTGGGAAGGCAAATCTTTGCCCTGGTCCTTCCCATTGCCTTCTCCTGCCTTGTGCAGGGGGAGGAAAGGCAGCGAGACCAGGCCCTGCCACTCTTCCCAGTCTCAGCCTCCTCCAGCTTCCCAGGCCTTGCGCTCTCCTTCCTAAAAGGACACTGCAGACACCCTTCCACTCTCCATTCTTCTGGAAAGCCCAGGCTCTCCCAAGGACACCAAAGATTGCACCTTGTGGGAGCTCCTGCCCGTTGCCCCCAGCTCCGGGCTGCTCTCCTCTTACGAACTGCTGCTGACATCTAGCTGCTCCACCGGCCTCCCTGCACCAATATCACAGGCTTTGCCAGCCTCTGCACGAGGGCCGCCCGTGCAGAGCGCGCATCTTCACAGAGCAGCTGCCCTAAATTCCTGAGAGGTGAAAGAGACATAATGACACGGCCAGAAGGTCTCTAATGATGCTGAGTTTGTGCATATGCCCCCGGGAACCCCCAAGGAGGGAACACTCAGCTCCTCCAACGCTGTCATGATGTCTGGGGACATCTGAGCTGGGCTGTGTCTGGAAAGCAGCTCATAAACAGGGAGCTTATGATAATCAGATTCCCATAAAAAACACCCTGTAAAGAACCCATACATTAGGGAGCTGCAAATTACGGCGCTGCAAACCTGGGCTGGAAATTACATTTCCATGAGATTTCCATACTTCTCCATGCGAGTCAGACCGGGCCTAGGGAGCTTATGAGTGTAAACAACCGTGCAAATGGCAGGTAAAGCTCATTTTAATACATTTTAGATCTTCGGGACAACTATTACTTTAAATCTTAACTACTGCAACATTTTTTGATGGAAAATAAAAGAGGAAGAGCAGGAAACGGGGCAGGCGTGCGCTGCGCAGGGAGCCCGAGCGGCGCAAGGAGCGGGTGCTAGGGGAGAAGCCCCAGGCCCGCAGGGGACCCCGGCTGGCAGGAGAGCCGGTGTCTCCATCGGCGCATCCTCCTCGGGGCACGGAGCCGTCCTCCCCTCCCTGCCCGCATTCCTGCAGCGATAAGCGGGCCGGCGAGCGAGGCGGCCGCGGAGGTGCCGCACGCAGCTCTTGGGCAACGCCGCGGAATCGCTCCCAGGAGGGGCAATGCTCCCAGCGCTCCAAATATTACATCAGTTTCGGTTGATTCCTACACCACACCCTCCCTCCAATTACGCTCTCCAGTTCTAGCAATGAGATCCAGCTATTCCTTTCCATACACAAGCACTTTTCGTCCCGGTTTTAGCTTATCCTGAGCTTTGCTCCGTGGTCTTTAGGGATCCAGCGGGGGAGAGTGTGGCAGAAGGGGCAGCCACCAGCAGGCCCAGGCTGGGAGACCCCCCTTGACCTGCAGCCCCAGCTCGCTCCCCACCTCTGGGTAAATCACCACGCGTCTCCCCACCTCCGTCCCAGCCTGCGGAGACACCACAGGAATGTTGCTGCCTCCCAGCGCGGACAGCGCCCGCGACGCCGAGATAAGGGCAGGCTCCTTGTCAGCCAAGAGAGAAGATGAATAAACCAGCAGGCAAATAAACCAAGGGGCAAATCTACAAATATTGGGGCACTTGGGTCCTGCTGCGAGTGGGGTTATTCGCTTGCCATAGCAGTGGTTCTTCCCACCCATAATCCCGGCACAGGGAGAGGACACGAACGCGAGTTTGATCTCATTTGTTCTTTGGTGACGTGGGTTTGGCAAATTCCTCACGGGGAATGAGCAGTTTCAGGATGCCGCGGAACACCCGACTCTTGCTCAAGTGTGACGACCAGAACAGAAAACCAGGAGAAACCAGTAGAAACAGGTTCTCCTTGCACGAAAGGCCCTTGCTCTTGCATCTCGGAGGTTGCACTGCTTGAATCTTCGCAAAACACCTCACAAAATTGAACACAGTCTGAGTTTGAATGCTGGAAGAGTGAAAGAGTTTCTGCTTTTTAGTTTTTTTTGCCTAAGAAGTGATGGACTGAAACCTTTAGGTGGGATTTAACCCATCCTCTCCAAGCAGAGCAGAACTGTACAGGGTACCAACTGAGTTGTACCCACACTCCTGTCCGTGCGGTTCCTAGGAGAGCAGCTCAGACCTCCTCTTCAGCATGTCCTGCCCCACAAAGTGCCCACAGGATGGCTGAACTCCCCCAGCTTTCCAAAATGCCACCTTTGCCCAGCTCCAGTCATCAGCCGTGAGGACAAAGTGACAGAAACCTCTGTCCCTGAGTGACAGGCAGGTCCTTGGGGTGAATTCTCTGCAAGGAACAAATCATTGGGAATTGCTGGAAATCCGAGATCACATAGGAAGAGCCTTTGGTCTGTGTCCATGGGGATCACTCCACAGCTTTGCTGCTCTCATAGGAGAGTGCTCTGGAGTTGCTGTTTTGCTAATGGAGAGATTTAAAGTTAATCTCGGTGTCTCTGATCTTTCCATAAAGTTCTTACATCATTCCTCGTACATCATTCCAGACTCATCTTTTTATTTATTACTTCTTTTTCATCTTACATATTCCGACATCAGCACCTTGCAGGAAAACTGCTTATTCGACTCAAAATAAAATGAAAATAAATTAATGAGAGATAAAGAGCTCTTTGATGCAATAACCTTTAATGATTTCTTCCTGGTATATAATTTAGGACAGTGTTTTTCCTGGCTTAATGTTGTAAAGTTTGCATCATAAACAAAAAGCTGATGATTCATAAAACATTATTGCTAATGTATTTTTGAAATTAGCAAGAGACATGTAAAGCACCTTCCTTGTCTACCAGGATTCTTGAAAGGAAACTTCCCTTTGAGAAATTATTCTTGGCACCCGTGCCTGGGGTGGCCAGCCTCCTGGGAAGCAGCACCGCGGTGACACCCACTCTGCAAGGTATAAATAGGGTTTCGCCGCGACGGGTGGCTCGCAGGCTGATTCAATATCAAGCTGTGCATCTTGCTTTGGGCTTCTGCTTGCATTTCCAGCTGCTGTCGCCATGAGTTGCAATATT